TACAGCACCAAATATAACAAAATTACATATACACGTATTATATAAAATATATATATTGTTGTTGTTGCTATTGAGAACATCCCATCAGAACACACACGTGCTACACATACAATTCAGGGATGAATGTCTCTTTGAGATGCCAAACTATCACTAAAAAAAAAAAACAAAAAAAAACTATCACTAGCCACATGACCTATCCCTGTGATTTCATTCAAGGTGAGCAGTTGGAGGAAGTGTCTCTGAGGAGCTGAATTGTGAATGGTGAATCTTTAGCTAGTGGTAGACAACAGCTAAGCAATTAAAAACCGGATGCTATGTAGTCAATTCTAACTCAAACAGCATAATGCACTAGGCAACTCTGCTTCACAGAACCTCTCTAAAGAGTTAAAAGAGCAAAGATGTCAGTTTGAGGACTAAGGTGTGTCTGACCTAAGCCATGGTATTTTCAATAACCTGATATGCATGTGAAAGCTGGACAGAGAATAAGGAAGACCAAGAAGAATTGATGCATTTGAGTCATGGTGTTGGAGAAGAATATCAAAAATATCATGGACTGCCAGAAGAACAAATCTGTGTTGGAAGACGTACAGCCAGAATGCTCCTTAGAAGCCAGGAAGGCGAGGCTTCATCTCTCATGCTTCAGACATATTTTTAGGAGGGACCTAATAGTAAAGTGGTAAAGTGGAGGGTCAGTGAAAATGAGGAAGATTCCCCAAGGTGATGGATTGGCACAGTGGCAGCAGCAATGGGCTCAAGTGTGACCACAACTGTGAGGATGGCGCAGCATCGGGCAGTGTTTCGTTTCATTGTGCAGAGAGTTGCTATGAGTCAGAACCGACTCAACAGCACCTAACAACAACAACAACAACATCTAGTCAATTATGACTCCGTGGTAACATGCGACAGTAGAGCTGTGTTCAAAGGGTTTCCAGTGGCTGATTTTTCAGAAGCAAATTGCCAGGCGTTTCTTTCTAGGTGCTTCTAGGTGGACTCAAACTTCTATATGTTGGTTAGCAGCCAAACACGTTAGCTGCACTCACCACCTAAGGACTTCCTCAGGTGGTCAACATATTAACAGCATACTAAACCAAAACAAGCCATACTACTCGTCATCAAGTGAATTCTAACTCACAGCTACTCTGCGTCGGGTTTCCGAGACTGTGAATCTTTAAGGGAGCAGACGGACTCCTCTGTCTCCCGTGGTACAGCTGGTGGATTTGAACTGCTGATCTTGTGGTTAACGGCCCAACACTCAGCCCGCTGTACCACCAGGGCTCCTAAAAGCATATTAACTGCCACATATATTAGTGTGCATACCTTCTCCAACAAACAAAATATAACTGATGATCTTTCTAAAACAAAGCGTCATGTTTGTTGTTGTGGATATGTGTTGTCGAGTCAGTTCCGACTCACAGCAATGCTGTATGGGATTTCTGAGGCTTTAAATTTTTGCGGGAGCAGAAAGCCTCATCTTTCTCCTGAGGAGCTGCTGGTGGGCTTGAACCATGTAGCTGTGGCTTGTAGTCAAGTGCTTACCATACGGAGCTAGAATGTAAGGCCCTAAATCCTAGGACTTTAAAATCAAATGCAGTTTATATATTTCAGTTCCTGCCAATTCAAGATAGAGCAAACAAAAGCATACTGGAGGGTTTGGCCTGGACTTCAGATTGGGCAAGTCTGGTTTCGAGGGGTGGACTGTGATTTTGTCCTTTTTAAGACAAGGAGTCTCCTGGGTGGTTAATGCACTTGGCTGCTGACTAAAACTTTGGTGGTTTGATTACACCCTTGAAAGAAAGGCCTGGTGAGCTACTTTCCAAAAATAATCGCAGGGTCACCGTGAGCCGGAATCAAACAGACAATTACTGGTTAATGGTTTTGTTGTTGGTGGTGTGCTTCAAGTTGATTCCAACCCATAGGGCCACTGTATAGAGCTTCCAAGGAGCAGATGATGAGCTTGAACCATTGACCTTGCAGTTCAAACTTTGCAATCCAGTGTATTAACCCACAGCGCCACACCAGGCCTTCAGAACTGGGGAAAAGCATGATATGGGTGCCTGAAACGGCCATTTCTGTACCAATGTTCTCCCTGCCTCCAGGGTCCTTTCCTTTGGGATTTTCCTTTCCTGGCTTCATCCTAGGGGAGAAGCTGAGGTTGCTTTGGGGTGCTTAGGTCTCACAGTTCAGGACCCTTCACCCCTACGCCTGTGCTTATCCCACCAAGTCTGCTCTCATTAAAGAATCACATGAAAATGGGCAAGACTTAAACCATTACTTTTTGAAGGAATATCATGTTTTAACAAAGACCAAAGACTTAAGATAAAGGAATGCAACTCTAGCTGATTTTAAAGCCAATTCTCACCCTTCAAACAGAGAGCGTTGTTGTTGTTAAGTGCCATCAAAGTCATTGACTCATAGTGAGCCTGTATAGGGTCTCCCAGGAGCAGCTAGTGGGTTTGAACTGGTGACCTTATGGTTCATAGTCCAGTGCTGACCCCTATAGCACCACAAGAGAGATTATTTAGTGAAGTTTCCTGAGTAAATGTTGACGTCACATCATGAGTAGTGTCTGATTCAGTCTATAAGCGGGGGTGTCTCAGATCCCCACTGATAGGAAGCTAGACACACTGCTTTCTCTCTCTGACATGTCACTTCCCCCATCAACCTTGGGACTCTTGCCCCTCTTGTCAGCCATGTTGTTGTTATTGTTAAGTGTCACGGAGTCGCTCTGTCCCATAGAGACCACGTACAGGGTTTCTGAGGAATGGCCAGTGGGTTTGAACTGTTGGCTTTCAGTTCAAATCGACCTTTCAGTCAGGTACTTATCCTACAGTGCCACACCAGGACTCTGTAAGTATTCCTCAAATCACGTGTTACGCCAGCACTGAGCTGATGCAGGGATAGACACAGGAGAGAGGTCTGGAACCTGTCCTGGGCAGCTTACAGGCCTGCTGACTTCTTCAGTCACACAAATGCTTTCTTATAATTGTGTAAGTGGCATGAAGAGAAACACAAGAGCTCAGAGAGGTGACAGGAGGGACGAGAGGCCAGAGTCCCTGTGGGAGCAACATTGGAAATGAGACCTGAGGGGCCAATTAACCAGACAAAAGAGGGCAGGTTGGTACCGGAGTGGAAGAAGAATGTTCTAAGCAGAGAGGGCATCATGGCTGAAGGCCCTCCCTGGGGACCAGGCATCCTTTCTCCAGATTCCCAGGCAAAGAAATGCTTCCAAGGCTAGGTGAACTTCAGGAATGGTAGGATGGATAAAGCTTGCTTGGGAGACTCACAGGTCAAAGACAGAAAGAGAAGCTACTTTTGGAAAGAAGGCTTCAGGGTGGGAGTAATTCAACTAATGGGAGGTAGAGATGGGTGGGGCAGGACAGTGGGCCTTCAGGCTCTGGGATTGACCATCACTGAATCCTGGTGGTGCTGTGGGCTGCTAACTGCTAGGATGGTGGGTCTAACCCACCAGTCATTCAAGGTTAGAAGTTCAGGCTGTCTGCTTCCATAAAGAGTTACAGTTTTGGAAAACCTGTCAGTGCGGCTGGGAGTCTGAAATGACTTGGTGGCAGTAGTATCTTTGGTTTGAGCCTGGGGGAGACAGACAACAGTGGAAGAAAGTGGTGCAATATCATTACTTGCATTGCCAAAATGGATGCCTGGGCCATCCCTCTGAATCCTTGATCTTTTACCAACTGGAGACTTAAATAATCTCTCTCTAACTGTCCCTGAATCTTTGTGTCACTCTCTCAAGATTCAAAGGCCCAGACAAATGTCCCCGTTTGTGAAGTCTAGGCCACACAGCTGTGTCCTATAGAGGAGGGAAGGGTACATCCCTTCAAATGTCATGAGGGGGTATGGGGCCCCAGTGTTGGTGTTCTTCTGAAGTCTGAAAAGTCATGTGTGCCGTGCTTTAACTAACCAACAGAAAGTAACCAATTCCAGCCCCCAAAACACTCAACCCACCTCTCCTCGGAATATGAGCCAAAGGGAGTTACAGCATAATCATCATCATAAAACTCAGAGGCTTCCTGCAGTTCTCCTAGTTTTGTGAAGTAATGCAGATCGCTGGTGACAGGCACGGGTACTCGGACTGGACCCCTGAAATTGGAAATGGAAATTAAAACCCTAAGGACTTTATAAAGACGCCAAGTACACACACGTAATACCATCCTACCCACACAAATGAAATGCCAATCAAGTCTCTGTGGAACAATGTAAGGCAGCCATGCCGACACCTTCACTCCAGAACTTCTCTTAAACACTGGCTTTGTGGCATTTTAATTTGTAGATTAAAGAAGCTTGCGTTCTTGCCAATGCTCCTGATCTAGGAAGTCATTAATGTAGGCACATCATCTTCCTTTGATTAACACATATTTTATTGCAAACCTTTGGTTCATTATTTAAGGCCCAGCTATAAAAACCAAAACAGATGCTTCCCTGATTTTGTTTGTAATCTAATACTTTGAAATGGGACCCCAGTAAAATGCACTTCTAAAAATATTAACATCATACTCTCCAAAACTCAGCTCGAAGGTAAAATATTTCTTCTTCATCTGTTTACATAGATTTATAAACTCGCATGTGCCCCGGCAGGATTAGAAAAAGCCATTGACCATTGCTAAGCAATAAATAAATCCTGACGTTCTTCACTCAGCCTGGCTACCTAGAGGTGCGCCGGAGCAAAGTGACCCAGCTGCTAGTAAATGTGAGCAAGTTGTAAGCAGCTGTCTGTCTTTGAGGTGGCCCATTTGGAGCTTGCATTTGGTGCTCCTTGGTTTCCTTGTGCATGACAGTTTCATGGACACAGGCCACCCTGCTGGTCAGTGTCAGGTTCCAGTTTCTGCTGCTCTGGGGGACACTGCCACCACCTTCCTGACCCTGCAGTATGGCTTTATGCATAGTACACACTGTGTCTTTAAAATCAGTATACAGATGTGGGAAATATCAATCTGACTTTACATGGTGTGGCGTTGTGGATAAGGCCTGTACCACAAGTTTGGTTTAAGCTGCAAGGTTGGCAGTTCAAATTCATCAGCTGCTCCATGGAAACCCTATACAGGGTCACTATGAGTTGGAAGGAACTCGAAAGTACTTAACAACAACACAACAATATTTTACAAGGATTATGCAAGTAAATTATATTAATAAATGAAATCATATTTAATATAGTAAAAACTATCTTATTAAGTATACTATAATCACTATTATAACAATTAACATCTATGAAGCGCTTCCTGACTGGCAGGCACTACATTGCTGTTGTTGTTGTTGTTGTTGTTGTTGTTAGGTGCCATCAAGTCAGTACCAACTGATAGTAACCCTATGCACAACAGAACAAAACACTGCCTGATCCTGGGCCAACCTCACAAATGTTGCCACTCATGAGCCCATTGATGCTGTCATATTGCCAATCCATCTTGCTGGGGGTTTTCCTCTTTTTCTCTGACCCTCCACCTCACCAAACATGATCTCCTTCTCCAGCGACTGGTCCCTCCTGACAACATGTCTGAAGCATGAGCGACGAAGTTTGGCCATCCTGGCCTCCAAGGAGCACTCTGGCTGCACTTCTTCCAGCACAGATCTGTTGGTTCTTTTGGCAGCCCCTGGCATTTTCAATATTATCCTCCAACACCATAACTCAAATGCATCAGTTCTTCTACAGTCTTCCTTAGTCACTGTCCAGCTTTTGCATGCATTTGAGGTTACTGGAAATACCATGGCTTGGGTCCTCAAGCTGGCAGTATGTGAAACATTTTAACAAGGGTAAGCCAAAAAATATTGCTGGTTTGGGCTCAATGCATGCACTGGTACATTGCGAACAAACACTTTTAAATATGTCTCTGCAATCCATGAATGGCTGCAGATAAATCCTGTCAGTAATGTGCTTGTCTTAGTCTTCTTCTTGTTATGTTGATGTGACCCTGTACAGGGCTTCCAAAGAGAGCGGCTGGTGGGTTTGAACCACCAACTTTGTGGTTACCAGTCCAGTGCTCATCCTACAAGTATCTTCAATATACATATATCCCAAACAGTGGTTTATCAAGGAAACTGCTGGAGCACTTCAAGTCAAGGCAGTGAGGTCAGCTCCAAAGGTGATGCGACTATTTTCAGGATTCCAAAGGGCCATCTTGATGGATTTTCTCAAAGGACACAGGATAATCATGTGGGTTTATTAGGAAGAAGTTTTTCAAGAAAATTGAAAAGTGCATTGGTGAAAAAAAGGCCAGGCAAATTGTGCCCAAACAATTTTTTCCTACAAGAATTTTCTTAGGAAACCTGATCCCACCCACCCTACAGCCTCAATCTTGCCCCTTCAGACTTCGTTTTGTTCCCCCAACTCAAAGAATATTTTCAAGGAATATGATTTGCCCCTTGAGGATGTCCAAGCTGTCATTTTGAAATCGCATAAATTGAAGAACTCAGAATTCTTTGAGGGAACGTTTAGAGAGATGGAAATACCTACTGCCTTCAGAAGTGGCTACACCGAGATGGAGGATATGTAGAGAAGCAATTGCTTCACATTTTGACGTTTTTGTTTCATAAAGGTTGCTATGACTTTGTAACAGTAGTCTCTGACTTAACACTCATTTTAAGGACTAAGAAGTCATTGATTAATAAAGATGCAAAGTTCCGTGTCCTCATGGAATTTACAGTCTTATAGAGGGCAGAACATTAAGCAAATGATCACACAAATAATTAATCAAGCAGCTCTGGTAACGTAGTGGTTACGTATCAGGCTGCCAACCGCAAGGTCAGCCGTTCAAAACTACCAGCTGTTTGCCGGGAGAAAGATGAGGCTTTCTGCTCCCACAAAGATTTACAGCCTTGGAAACCCTGTACAGGGTCGCTATGAGTCAGAACCAACTCCATGGCACATAACCACCACCTCCATGGTTTCAAGAGTCCTAAAGGTACGCACAGGGCATTCACCAGCACATTTCCATGAGCTGTTGGCCATGAACAGTCTTGGTAAAGGCTGACACGTATTTTCTGACACCACCAGAGACAGCGCTCTTTGTAATCTTCAAAGATGGCAAAAATCATGAGTCCCTAGTAGTCTAAGAGTACAGTGTGGACTCCTGGTGTGGCATTGAAGGATAAGCACTGCACTGTGAACCACAGGTTGGCAGTTCAAACCTACCTCCTAGTCTTCAGAAACACTATACAGAGTTGCTACAAGTTAGAACCGACTCAGCACAACAACATGAGTGTACGGTGTCTTTAAAAAATATATATATATGTGTGTGTGTGTGTGTATATATATATATATTCTCTCAGAACTAAGCTCAAAGACTCTGACCCATAGAAACCTTGGATAACATTTCCAAGGAGTGGCCAGTGAGTTTGAACCACTGACCTTGCGGCTCAAACTGACCTTGCAGTCCAGTGCTTATCCTGCAGAGCCACATCAGGACTCCATATATACATATATGTATAATACATACATATATATATGTATATATTATTGTTGCTGTTAAGTGCTATAGAGTTGGTTCCAACTCATAGCAACCGTGTGTAGGGTTTCCTAGGAGCAGCTGATGAGCTTGAACCACTGACCTTGTGGTTCAAACCAACCTTGCAGTCTATGGCATTAACCCATAGCAAAACACCAGGACACACACACACACACACACACACTTCTCTCTCTGTCTCTGTGTATGTCTCTCTCTCTCTCTCTCTCTCTCTCTCTCTCTCTCTCTCTCTCTATATATATATATATATATAGTGGTGGTCATGTATTGATGAGTTAGTTTCAACTCATAGTGACCCTGGGCTTTTAAGGCTGTAAATCTTAATACGAGCAGAAAGTCTTATCTTTCTCCTGCAGAGCAGATGATAGATTTGAACTACAGACCAACTTGTAACCCACTAAGCTAATAGGTCTTCTTGCTGTAAAGTGCCATTAAGTTGGTTTCAATTCATAGTGATACTGTATAGAATTTCCAAGTAGCAGCTGGTGGGTGTGAACTGCCAACCTTGTGGCTCGCAGTCAAGTGCTGATCCAATAGCACCGCACCAGAAATCCTTACATATATATATTTATTTATATATGTACATATTGTATGCATACATGAGTTGCTGACCTTGTGGAGAGCAGACCAACTTGTAACTCACTACCCTACCAGAACTTCTTACATGTATCTATATAATATTATATATATACACATACATACAGATAGATAGAAATATATCTATCTATAGGGACTCCTGGTAGAGCACTGGACTGCGAACCACAAGGTTGGCTGTTCAAACTCACCAGCTGCTCCTCGGAAACACTATCAGGGTCACTATGAGCTGGAACTGACTCCATGGCACTTAACAATGACAATAACGTGTGTGTGTATGTATATATATAGTCAGTCCTGGTGTGGCACTATGGGCTAATGCATCAGACTGCAAAGTCATTTGAATTGCAAGGTTGGTGGTTCAAGCTCACCAGCTGCTCCTTGGAAACCCTATACAGTATCACTATGATGATACAGGGTCGCTATGGGTTGGAACTGACTCTACAGCACCTAACAACATCAACAAACATATATATGCATACATTTCATACATTTCATACATATATATATATGAAAATAAAATAAAATTTGTAGAGGTAGGCTTCTCACTGAATCCCTGGGCCCATTGCCATACCGAGGTTCCTGAGTAAGTTAACAATTAAGGCTTCACTTGGCATATATGGGTACTAGAAAATCAATCTACAGATGCCCAGGTGTCGATACATCTGGTAAACTGTTACCTTTGAAAAAGGAGTGTGTGATCTGGGGGTGTCTTTCCCATTAGCGCCTGCCAGGCTCGCTCATGCTGCCTCTGCATAGAGTGTCTTTCCTGGGCAAGAAATAAGATTAGCAAATTATATTGGTGTATAAACTACGTTAGATGATTAAGTTGCCAATGACCATTCTCTTCTTATCAGAGATGATGAAATACAAAAGAAAACAGGAAGGAAGGATGAGCATAAAAACACTGAAGAATGCACCTTGGTAGAACACCGAACGCTTTGAAACTGTGTAATCTCGGACATGCCACCTACATGAATTTAACTGTGCCTCAAATGTATGTTGGAATCTTGGCCGTTGTAACTGTGATGCGATCCTGTTTGGAAATTTTCTTTGGGCATGTTAATGAGGCCATATCAGAGTAGACGATGAATCCAAAATCTAATCACCTAAAGTTATAAAAAGATCAGAATAGACACATACATGGGGGAAGACAGATGCCATTTAAGAAGACTCTACAAGCCAAAGAATGCCAAGGAACCCAGGAATGCCTAGGGCTACTGACAAGGAAGGAATCACCATGGTCAAGACACTGGTTTAGACTCTTAGACTGTAGAACTGAGAGAAGATGTTGGGTCTTTAAAGGCACTCACTTGTGGCATTTCTGTCATGGCAGCTCTAGGGAATTAAGACAGTCACCCATGTGTGGCATTTTTGTCATAACAGCATTGCTGTTGTTGTCAAGTACCATCAAGTTGGTTCTGACCCATAGCAACCCTGTATAGGGTTTCTGAGGAGTAGCTGGTGAGTTTGAACTCCAGACCTTTCAGAGAACTAAAATGCCACCTACCCCGCTGGAGCCAACTTGTTTCCTTATTGAACGAAAATAGTGTGGTAGACATCACTGCCCAAAATTCTGTCATCCCAGGTCCATTTTCCTGCTGGCCTTCACACATTTAGGTATTGATTGGTGTGCGTAGACATTTTCTGCTACATACATTTATTTGTTATATTGGCTTTCAATGAATTGGTCACGCAACAAATCCCCACCTCCACCCCCACCCCGCCCAGAGGAATGACTTTCAGAGACTTGGTCTGCTTTGGAAGTAAAGGCAACTCACTAGGAAGATGGAAAATCTGGTTAAAGAACCAGATACACTCAAAGGACCGAAGACAGGCTTCTTCTAGAAGACAAAGACCTATTCACAACAAATCTCAATCAAAAATTCTCAACTCAGCCAGTCCAGCCCCCATGAATGCATTCCAGGGAGTCAACTGAGCCAAAGAGCAAAATAGCTACCAGTGAGGGAAGTTATAAAGCAAA